TTGGTATCTTTGGAACTTGGAAACTTTTCCAAGTAAGCCTTTGGTACTCCTTAAGAATTGAGTTACAGTGGGAGGCTCAGTGTGGTAAAGCAGTTTAAAAGCATACGTGAAATCGTATCAGTGGTAGTGTTTTAGTAGTTTCATTTTAATGCTCCTTACCCTGGAATTTTATGTAAGAGAAACTCCTCACAGACATTCTTTTAATCAGATACCATCGTAGATTGGAGAACTTCAGACATAAGTTCTCCATGCTTTTCTTTCTCCCATAGTAACACATTCTTTTACCTTTACTTCTATCTTCTCAGTTTGCTGTGTTATTCCAGTAGAACTGTCTCCATTTCAGGGTAGTCTTACCTGTCAGTCTGTGCTCTGAGTCATACTTTTTTCCAATTTAGAAAAGATTGATTCTGTGAATATCCATCTCATGTTAGTAAGTTCTCTCTTTCATCTCTTCCTTTTAGCATTTAAGAGTGTTTTTGTCTTATAACAGGTGTTATGATCTTACTGATATGGGGAGAAGTTCATCCACATCTTCATTGGGAAGTTACTATTTCATTCCTCACTTAATGGGCACATAAATTATTTCCAAAATCTAGCTGTTACCAATTGGCTGCTATAAACATGGGTGCACATATATCACTGTGATACAATGTTTTTAATTCTTTTTTTTTGTCTTTTTCGTTTTTTATTGGTACCAGGGATCAAACTCACGACTGCCTGCTTACAAGGCAGGCGCTTATGCCGCTGAGCTAAATCTCCAGCCCCTATTTTTAGTTCTTTTAGGAAGACACCCAGAACAGGAATAGCTGGGTTGAATGGGACCTCTAGACCTAGTTTTTTGAGGAATCTCCACACTAATTTCCACAGTGGTTACATCAGTCTGCATTCCCACTAACAGTGGAGAAGAGTTCCTTTTCTCCGTAGGCAGTTGCTCAGTCATGAAAGTTCTTCTTTCAAAGAGTTGAGTCTTTTTTTGGGGGGGGGGTCTTTTTCCTTTTTTATCGGTACCGGGGATCGAACTCAAGACTGCCTGTTTGCAAGGTCTTATTGATAGTAAAGAATTACACTTCTGTAGAGATACTCTGATACCCTACTATAGGAATATGATCTGATTCTGCTTAGAAGATGGAAGACAGGGAAAAGATTGAGTAGCCTTCTGTGTGGGTTTTTTTTTTTTTTTTTTTTTTTTTTTTTTTTTTTTTTGGTGCTGGGGACCAAAGTCACGACCTCCTCACACTTGCCAGGCAGGCGCTTATGCCTGCTGAGCTAAATCCCTGGCCCCATTGACCAGCCTTCTGAAAGGGGAGACATTTAGTTAGTAGCTTGAAGGACAAGGAGAAGCTACCAAGGCAGAGTGAAAGGCATATTCCAGAAAAGAATGCTTATATTCCTTAGCAAATTACTGTTATTTTTCAAGTAACTTCTACCTGGTGTGATATTAAGTAGCATTAGAAGTAGTTGTGTATGGTCTCTATCCCCAGTGGGGAGGGAATAGTTGAGAGAGAAAGGAGAGGCTGGAAAGCTTAGGCCTATGATCCAATTATGTATATGAAGCAGCATGTAAAATGCCAAATTGAGGTTAGAGAGGAATTAATAAGAGAATACAAGCTAAAGTAGTTGTAAATTATTTAGATTGAGTAAAATAGGAGGAAGGGAGACATTGAAAATAGTTGGGCATAATGATGTGAAAGCAGTGTTGACAGATTTCTTTGAAATATTTGCGTAGACCTGAGGTGATTAGCAGGGAGGGATGGTGAGGAACCAAGAGTCCAGGAGGTCAGCTAGGAAGCTTATGGAATAAGGTGAAGTAATGAGGCCTGACATTTCTTAACTAGATTTCCATAACCAGATTCCTCAGAGCTTTCCATGCTGTTTTTAAATTTACCACCATCTGTTCTCTTCTACAAGTGGGTTTCTGTCATCACCATTCCAGTAATAGGTTTCCTTCTAAAGTTACTGGTGATCTGGCCAAATCTAATGGTAGTCTTTTGTGTTTTGCTTAATGGGAAATTACTTAAACACCAGCATAAGCACTAACATTGGAAGCACTTTTTGCCTCACAAGCAAGAATATATAAAATTTAATTATTTGCATACAAAGCAAAAGTTTCATGTTTTTGGTTTGAGACATTTTATAGTGAATTTAAAATTTGCTCTAGTAGAACAGATGAACGTGAGCACAATAACATAATCCTTACATAAATGTCTTTGAAAACTAGGGACCTTTTCTTTCTGTTTACATTTTGACTTTCTTTAAGGCTTTATTGAAGTTCTTTCTTTCCTTGTTTCAAAATGGTTGTCCATATTATTATTTCCCTTTTCTGAACTTACAGCACCCAAAGCTCAGTCTTATTCTTTGATTCATTTTTTTCTTGTATTTGTGGTTCCTGATTTGGACTATAGATATTTTCCTCCTACATAGCTCTGTACACATACACTTACAGATTCCTGTTAAATGTATAGATTCCTGTTAAACGTTAAAATTTAAAAATTTTATTTTGCTAAGACTCTTAAAGGGCCTCATTATTTACACTTGTGGAAGGGAACAGAAGGTAAAGGTGGTTTTCAGTAGGGAGTATCTGCAATAAGAATTATATTCCAGTTTGAAACATGCTCCTGTATTAAGTTTAAAAACATATAAACGTGGTACTTTGCCAGTTTGGACAACATAAAGCTCTACCAGAGATTTGATTAAGGCAAATAGGTTGATAATACGGTATAGTAATAGCCAGTGTTTATTGTGAATGTTTATTCACAGGTACACACTATGAATGAAGTATAAATAATAGTATTATCACCTCCACCCCAGTACTTAATAGTCATTAAACATTGTCTGGAAGTGTTCTGAGTGCTTTATTTCTATATCTTGTAGGTACTGTTTTAATTATCTTCCTCATTTTACAGATGAAGTATGGTAGAAAAGGATTGGGAACCAAGAGATCTGATTAAAATCAGTTTTAGTTCTCCTAGGTAGTTTGAAATTGGATGAGCCTTTAACTTTAGTGTGCCTTAATTTTGCATCTTTAAATTGAGATTAGTTACAATCTCTGGAGTACTTTCCTACTCATTTGATATTGTATGATCTGTAAATATCTTGTCTGTTTATTCTCAAGTCCTTACAACTTTATGATTGGATTGGTCATTCCTGACTATTACTGTAGAATAATATGTCTTTTCTTTTTTTTTAATTTGTGAAGGTGCTATTTGGGGAAATTTAAAGTTCAGGTTTCAAAGAAATGTATATGCTAAAGAAGGAGACTTGAGAAGATTAGGAAGGCAAAACTGAATCAGAATATCAGAAAAGCAAAATAATAATGCAGCTCTTCACTGGCAATGTAGGGAGAATCCTCATAGCTGTCTCTTAATTTATAATTGCTGTTGCCTAATCTAGTTTACCTTATTGTACATTCGTTTTCCCCAAGTTACTCCTAGACCAATATTATTAATGAACACTTATTGAATATTTTCTCTGGGCATATGTCAATGCATTTAATTTTCAAAGTAATATTTTAACCGTAGGTGATATTACTGTTTTATTTTACAGGTAAAAAAAATGCAATATTGGGAGATAATGAACATTTTTACAGTTCTGCAACTAACAGCTGCTGGAGGCTATATTTGAATTTTGATCTCACTGATCCCAAAGCCTGTCTTCTTTATTGTTAATTCTATATTGCCTCCTAAAAGTTCATATTCTATTTCAAGTATTGCAGGGTAATTTTTGCTGGGAGCCATTTGGGATGAGGGGCCTATATACAATTTTCTTAGCCAAAATTTTTAGGGGGTGCATTCCTGGGGATTGAACTCAGAGCCTTGCCAAATACTTGGTGAGCCCACTCTCACAAAGCTCCATGCTCAGTCCCAAATGCTTTCTTTTGACTAAGATGCTTTACTTTCTTTTCCCCTTAATTTTGATACCACTTACAAACCTTTTTTATTCTTCTCTGCTGTTTTTCCATGGTTATGATTCCTGTTTCTTTGATCCCAGGATATAAGGGCTTACATGTCTGCTGAAACTTAACAATTTCAGTGTGAGCTGTCAGGCTTTCTTTCTGTATTCTCATCTTTAATTCTCAAAATAGTTTTTCTAGAATATATGTTAACTCTGCAGATTTTATATTATTTTCTTCGAGTGGTAACAGTCTGAATATTTTAGCCTTGAAGATAAATATATTAGTGAATCTAGATTACTGGACATTTGCCCAAGCCTGTCATTGAGCTTGAAATGCTGCTTTTCTCTCTGGCCATTTATCTGATTTAATCTCTTTTATACTCCCAGATCTTTAATTAGTTTTTATAAGCTGGTTTCTTTGCTTTTTTTTTTTAATTACTGCCTGGTACTGCCTCTCCTCCTTTTCATATGCTCACCAGTGTCCTTGACTTTGCATTCCTCTTTTCTCTTAACTCCCCCAGCTAGGTTGTCTTTTTGCTATTCTTGTCTGTGCTGGTTTACTCTTCCTACCTCCCACCTGCTCAGTATCTTTTTTTGCTCCATGCAAATTCTATTTCTCAATTACCTTTCTGACTTTATGCCTCTAGCTTACTTTTGGTACTCTTTTGTTGGTATGAGTCCCCTAAAATTTGCATAAAAGAAATTGAGGTACAGATGGATAGTCTTAAGTTTTTAAGGGCTTGTGGTAGTTTGGTGAGTAAAGAGCTGTACTGCAGACCAAGTTTTGTGTACCAAGATCTTGTTGCCCTATTAAAGTGGCAGACATTCTTTTGCAGAAAGATTACCACCAACACCACTTTGTGTATATGTATTATAAACACTTTCAAAATGTGTTTGTTATGTTTTGAAGAGAAGCAAATTAAGAAAAAAGATTGGAAATGTTGATCCTTTAAATACTTGGTTTGGTCATTAACATACTCAATCTTTTTCCTCCAGATTTAACTCAGACTTTCCCTCACTTTGGAACAACTAGATTTGTGAATATTGGATTCTTTTGAGAAGCAGGGGTTCTTTCATTGATACTGACTAAGGAGTCTATTTACCTTCAGGATGACATCTGAACTGGAGAGCAGCCTAACATCTATGGACTGGTTACCACAGCTCACCATGAGAGCAGCCATCCAAAAATCTGATGCGGCACAAAATGCACACGGAACAGGAATTTCTAAGAAGAATGCACTCCTTGACCCAAATACAACTCTAGACCAGGAAGAAGTTCAACAGCACAAAGATGGGAAACCTCCATATAGTTATGCCAGCCTCATTACATTTGCTATTAATAGCTCACCCAAAAAGAAAATGACTTTAAGTGAGATTTACCAGTGGATTTGTGATAACTTCCCATATTATAGAGAGGCTGGCAGTGGTTGGAAGGTAAGGATTTTATTTAAATTACTATTTTTGTGCATTAAGTAATGATAACAGTATTGAGTGCTGATGAAAGTAAAGCTTTGAGGAAGCTTATATAATTGAAGATGAAATTCTGATTGCTCTTCGTTTTTAGGATGTCAGAATGGAATGTTTAAATTTAGATGATTAAATATTTGGTAAACCATTATTAGAGTTTTATTGTATTATTAGACTAAGAGCAGACAATAAAAACAGTCAGAATATTATCTCCAGTAGCTCACAATGCCAACAGTTCAGATAAGTTGCTAGTGAGTCAAGGTAAAAAAAACAATATGGTGGTGTGACTAATACTGTTTCATCATTCATATATTTTTAAAAAAACTTTATTTTGAGTGAATTTTAGACTTACAGCAGTTACGTAAGTAGTACAGGAAATCTCTTGAACTGTATGCTTCATTAGTTTCCTATAATGTTAAGACTTTGCATAGCAATAGAATAATTAAAAAACCAAAAAAATAATATTGATGTATTATTGATTAGATGTTACTGTTTTTCCCTTCCCATATATAGTTTATTAGTAAAGTGGTACCTCAATTTATGAACTTAATTTTTTTTGTGATTGTGGAAAAGATGGCCATATTTGTTTGTATGGGAAAGATGGATGCGGTTGTGTTTGTCATCTGATGGAGAGTTTACAAACAACAGAATTTTACCAATGCTTCTGTTTGCAGTCAAATTGTTTGCAAACAAAAGCATTTATGAATTGGATACCAGTGTGTGTTATGTATTTTTTTTTTTTACAAAGTACTTGGTTTCATTGTGGCTTTTAAATATATACATATAACATTTTTATCATATCCATCCCTTCAGACATTAATATTAACTACTGAATAAACCATAGCTATTATTGACATTTCATCAGTTTTGCCACTTACGTTCCAGGATCCAATCCAGAATCTATATTGCATTTACTTGTCATGTCTCCTTAGACTCCTCCAATTTGTAAACGTTCTTCAGTGGCCCTTTTTTGGGGGATTCTTTTATGACCATGACACTTTTGATAAGTAATTGTTAGATATTTTGCAGTTTCTTAGATATTTTGCAGTTTCTCTCAGTGTGGATTTGTCTGATAACTTTTCATGATTAGATGGAGGTATACTGCATTTGAAGGGATGATAATATACTCTCTGCATGTCACATGGTACATAGTGTCAGTATGTCCTATTGGTAATGCTAATCATGGTTCTCTAGGTGATGTTTGCCAGGTTTCTTCACTGTATCACTGGAGAAGATACTTTCTTTGAGTGCCTGCAAATATCTTGTTTCTTCTTAAACTTTTGCCTGTTTTAGCATTCATTGGTAGGTAATAATTCAAGAAAAGTGTACTGTTTTCCAGTAATGACTTTTTTCCCATTTCTTTTATATTTATTAATATTCTTTCATAAGAGTTGTTTTGCTCTTCTTTGTTCTTTTATTTGTAATATGTTGTACTTAGGATATTTATTTTATCTTTGTGCTGTCACCGTCATTCAAATTGTAGCTTTGACCATTGTAAACTAGTACAGGTTGGTCCTATGCTTTTTTTTTAATTTGATGCCGCCTTCTTTTGTGGTACCAAGAGATGTTCTAGGATCACCTCATACCTTCTTTGTCCCAGCCCTGGAATCAACCTCTTCTTTAAGAAACTGATTAATATGGGGCTGGGGATTTAGCTCAGCAGCTAAGTGCCCGCCTTGCAAGCATGTGGTCGTGAGTTTGATCCTTGCTACCGGTCAAAAAAAAAAAAAGAAACTGATTAATATACCATTATATTAGTTAGCTTATGTTGTGCAACAAATAATACAACTTACTTTGTTTTGTCTTAGCACGTTTTATTCATTTCTTATGTAGCATTACCCAGTTGTGTGCTATGTGACATATATCTGTGCATGTGTATTCATGTGGAGAATACAGTTTGAGGTATACATTTTCCAGATGATATTGTTTATTTTCTCTTAATCCTTCCTATTTTAATGTGTTTGTCTTATCATTTGATTACATTTATGAGACATTTGCTGATTGATCATGTGCTATTTGCTGTGACAGCTAATCACACGTCTTATGGGAAGGAATTGTAGCACACTAAACTTTTTGTGTACCTCTTTGTGTTTTCCATGCCTTAGCACACAGTGCTTTCTTTATAGTAAGCTTCAGTACATATGGTTGGAACTACATTATGATGACTACTTTCAATTGACCTATCTACTTTGTTTTGTTATTTTCATCTTATGCTCATTTTTCTTGTTCTTTCCTACTTACTAGTTACCTTGAGAAATAAACACTTAGATGTTTTGCTTTTGTTGTCCTCTTATTTCTCCTTAGATATTCTTTTGCCCTTCGTTGAGTTGGCATTACCCTGTTACTTTAGCTCATATATTAAATATGTATCTCTTTTTTGTGTATCCACATACCTTATTCAAACAGTACTGTAAAACTTAGGGGTGTTTTCCCTCAGAGATCTTATTTCAATAGCTTTTGTTTCTGAAGGTGAATATCCAAGTGGTAGTTGGATTTTCAGTTTTCTGTGTATCAGGAGCTATTCTGAGGGCTTTGTATCATTGTCTTAAACCACAGAGTAGTTTGTAGATATTATTGTTCACATTTTAAAGTTAAGGAAACTGAAGGTTTGAGAAGTTAAGTAACTGTTGAAATTCTCATCTAGAAAATGGTAGAGTCAAGATTTGGTGCCAGATATGGTAGATTTGGAGATTTCATTGCCCATGTTCTTAATCAGTAGTAAAAACAAAATTTATTGAATTCAATTTGACAAAATAAACTCTTTTAATTGGCTCTCATAATATAAGAAGTGATTGTTAGCAGTATACTTTAGGTAAGTGTATTTTACACACTGTCAGTGGAGGGGAAAAAATTTTTTTTTGTTTATCTTTTTGAGACAGAGTAGCTCGCGCTAGCCTTGGATTTGTGGCACTCCTCCTGAGTGCTGGGTTTATAGGCATTCATCACCGTGCCTGGGATTAATGTTTGACCCATTAAATAAGCCATTTGTGGTGCTTTGTCAGAGCTTTGTCTTTACTCCTAAGCATTATAGCTTTCTTTGGTCAGATTTGGGATGAGAGAGATTTTGATGACCTTGTTTGGCAATGGAAGAATATGATGATAAGAGAGTAGAAATGGCTAAACTTTGAATAAGAAAGCCCACCAGAATTCATTGGTCTTTGCTTCTGTCATTTATTTATTTGTAGTGCAAGAGATAGCAACCAGGACCTTGGAGATGCAAGAAAGGGCTCCACCCCTGAGCTATATTCCGGCCCATTTCATGAGTCTTTATCAGTGGCCGTAAACATAATAGGTGTAAATGCCTGACAGGTGAAGTAATGTAAAAAAGAACCAAACTGAAGAGTGCTTATCTAGTGTGAAAGGAGTAATTTTGTTCTCATTAATTCTTACCTTTTAGGGCATATGGCACAATAATTCCAATTTTTCTCCCAACAGAAGCAAAGCATCTGGATTTTTCTGTGTAATTTCTTAATGTTGCCAATTCTAGTTTTCTTAAATACTTACTCTATAGGTACTTAAAACATAAGTCTATTGTCTGTATTCAGCCTGTAGACTACTAATTGGGAATCTCTGATCTAAATCGTGTTCTCTTTTCAGCTAATTTATAGTTTTTCACTTACTAGATTGAAAAGATTTTCTGTTTGTTCTTGTGCAGTATTGTGCTATGCTTTACCCATACTAAGAAGCTTAGCACAGGGCTTCTGTTTCAGTTAACTTTTTTCTCATTGGTGAGACAAAATACCTGACACCCAAAATTAAGGAAAGGTTTGTTTAGCTCACAATTTGTTGAGGTTTCAGTCCATAATCATCTGACCCCAAGCGTGGCAGCAGTTCAGGCAGAAAAGACTACGACAGCAAAATCAGCAAAAGTGGGGTGGGATGAGCAATCCTCTTTCCCTTTCTTATACTGTAAGCAGACTACCTGAGCTAGGGCAAGTGTAGGACTCACACCATCTTAGTGCCCTCCTTTTGTATAGGATGAGAATGTTTACAGAGTAAGAGCCTGACCCTTTACTGAGACACTTAGCTAAACTTGTAAACTTCTCAAGTTGACACAATTTATCAACCATTACAGTGCCTAAGGGAGTCCATAATCTTTATTGGGTCAAGAAGGATACATGTAAACTAATTATAATATTGTATCAAAAGCTGTTTAATAGAGTAATGTGGAAAGCTATTCTATAAATAGTTGACTGGGCACACCTGTGTGTGGGTCATAACCAGTATGTCCATTATTTAAGCAATCTAGTAAAGATGTTAACTGAGGGTACAGTCAATGAGAGGTTATAAGGGAGTATGATGAAGTTCTAAAGTGAATGGTTTCATGTACAAAAACCAAACTGCACAAGATGTTCTTCAAAGAATCAGCCAGTGGGATCTCTTATTAAAAAGTTTTTGTATACCAAAAGAAATCACTAACAGAGTGAAAAGACAACCCACAGAACAGGAAAAAATTTTAGCCTCTGTCCCTCGGACAGAGGACTTCTGTCTAGAACATATAAAGAATTGAAAAAAAATCAGGCCCCTCAAATTCAAAGACCCAGTCTAAAAATGGGCATCTGAGATGAATATACATGTCTCAAATGAAGAAATAATAAATGGCAGATAAATATATGAAAAAACATCCAACATTATTGAATGCAGATTCTGCCTCACCCCAGAGAGAATGACTGTCATCGAGGAATTAACCAGTAACAATTGCTGGTGGGGCTGTGAGAAAAAAGGAATCCTTTTCCACTGTTGGTGGGAATGTAGAGTTGTACAACCACTGTGGAAATCATTGTGGAGATTGCTCAAAAAACTAGGATTGTATGCCTCCTATGACCCAGCTATTTCTCTTCTGGGTATTTTCCTAGAAGAATTAAAAACATCATACAACAGCTATATATGTGCACCAATGTTTATAGCAGCACAATTTGAACCAGCTAAATGTTGGAAACAATCTAAACACCCACGATCCGAGGAAT